GCCAAATTGCACTTCCAACAGATATGTTCCAAAACACAGATTTCCAAAGAACCTGTGTAAAATGGAACAATGGCTAAGAGCAATACAACGAACAGATTTGATAGGTAAGTTTTTAATCAAGTATATATAGATTAACACTTAGTATATTTCNTAAATAAAAATAGATAATATGCTGTTTGTTCTTATTAATGTTACAGGTGCATCAAGAGAGACATTGGACAAATTGCGAATTTGCACGTTACATTTTACTGATGACATGATTTATAGTTACACTCAAAAACGAATATTAAAAGATNATGCAATGCCATCATTAAATTTACCAAATATTTTGGAAAATAGAGCCAATACAAGTGCTGAGTCAGTTCTACATGTCATCAGTACAAAAAATGTTACATGTAACTCGGATTTGTCTCAATGCTCAAGAGAAGAGGAAGCTAGAAAAGAAGAGGAAGCTAGAGAAGAAGAGGAAGCTGGAGAAGACGAGGAAGCTGGAGAAGAAGAGGAAACTAGAAAAGAAGAAGCTACAAAAGAAGAGGAAGCAGCAACAGAGGAGAAAAGAAAAACTATTATTTCGAGAGCCTCAGTTCGTTCTCTCGGCAAAATTATCCAGAAAACTTCGGAATTTGAAGAAATTATTGTACAAGAAGAAGAAATGCATAAAATCACAAGGAAAAAAGATAAAAGAATTACGTNGTGGGAATAATTGGGACAAAATTACAAAGAATGCAGGAACTTTAGAAAAAATATTCTTCGAGATGGTAAAAAAGAATTTACATTGTGCACCTCAGGTATGTTTTTTTTATGCAAAAATGTTCTTTTTTTTAATAAAGAAAATAGTAAAAGTAAAAGATTCTTGTATTAGTACAATTTTAAATTTATTGTAAAAATATTAAAAATTTATGTAAGAAAAAAAACTTAGTACATGTTTATATTTTTTGTATTATTTTTTGTATTATTAGTTTTGTTATTATTAATGTTTTTATTTTTATTTTTATTTTCTTATTAGCACATGTTTATTATTAGTACATGTTTATATTTTTTGTTCGTGCATTAATTCTTTATATTTGTAATACTATTAATACTAAATTTTTCTAATATAAATATTGTTTGTTTTTTTAATGTCTGAATGTATAATATGCTCACACAGAACAAAAACTTCATTAGACATACAATAGACATCAAAAGCTCCATGCGATATCTAATAGAGTCTAATGGAGTTTTTGTTCTGTGTAGGTAGCTTTACATTAATAAATTAATATGTGATAATAATCTCATAATAAATTGATTT